AACAATATAGAAATCTCTGGTCTTGTACTCGGGGAATCTCTCTAGCCAATTCACCAGAAACACATAATTATCCTCAACGTACTTTGATCTCCTCTTGTACTGTAATCGGAACTTGTGTTGGAGTAGGAAAAACCTATACCAGTAGGAGACTCTAGGAACAAAACATTGGCCACTAGAAACCACAACGAGAATAAGATTAGCTAACAGAAATGGGAAACTAACTAACTAAGATCAGGTTAGAATCTTTGAAAGGAAGAGAGACCAAAAGTGAAAAATGATCAATTGAATTATTCAACAACCTTGATTCCATGCTGTGTAAATCCCATTAAAATTGGGTGTCACTTCATGGCTATGAAAGGAGCTGCCACCCATCAACAACTTAAACAAGGGAGTGACGGGTCTTCCAAGTTTGAAAAGCATAAAAGAAGAAAAGACTCCCAATCCAAGACAAAGACATGATTCTAGGCACCAAAGGAAGGGAGAGGGAAGGTGTTGGGCACCCCTCTCCCTTTGTTATCTTGTGAATGCCAATTTTAATAAAAACAAAAAATACTTAAGGACTTCTCTTGGTCCAATGAAAGTCCTACCATGAAGGGGATACTCTCTTATGAGGCTTCATCTCCTCTTCTCCCTCTTTCCGGGCATGAGAAGCTCTTAGGGAGCAAAGGGACAGCTGTATACATAGCCTTCCCTTCTTTATCCAAAGCCTCCCACGTTCCTGCTTGAGGGGAGGATTATTAAGTCTCAGGAAGGATTGCCAATCACCCAAAGAACATAAGGTTTAAACTAAACAAGCATTAATAGAACAAAAAATAAATAAATAAGTAAATAAAAATAAACAAAAACTAATATCCATGCCAAACATTTAGCCTAAAACTACACAACCTAAGCACATATAAATCCAAGGAAAAACCTTCAAAACAATCCAAAAGAACTTAAGGGATAGCAAAGAGAGGGCATCAAACATATACTACTCATTTGTGAAACTACCAAGATGCATTCAGCTAAACATACTAGTCGATACTAAACATAGACTAGCAAGTATCATGGCGGATTAGCAAGCTTCATATATTTGGCTTGCACATCTTCTTGGACAGAATAACTAAAAAAGGAGTAGCCAGTGGGGTGGGAAATAACGAATGGTTTCAACCATGCTAGACCATTTACAAAAGAAAGAGGAAGATAAAAAAAAAGAAGAAACAAACAACTATGAATTCGGTTAGAAGTTTTACCTTCTTTGTAGATTTTCCTTCAAGATATTGGGGATGTTAGGAATGATATTTCGATGGAGAGGCTAAGGCTACATGTTTCCTATTTGATGGGGCAAAATAAGAAGATATATTGATCTTGTTGGGAAGGTGGATTGCAAACTTGAGTTGAGTCTCCTATTTTCTTTCTTCTTATAATCTTCTTCTTTCTCCCTTCTTCCTTCTAATACGATCCAGGTGAGAGGTTTCTTTTCTTTTCGTTCCTCTGTTTTCTTGTTGTGATAGCTGGCCGAAATGGATGGAGAAGATGGAAGGGAAGAGGGAGTCTAGAGAGAGAGAGAGGTTTCGGTGGTAAAAGTTTGAGGGAGGATTCGGCCACCCATACCTTGTGCTGAAACTTAATTAATTATAACCGGGGTGATGAGAATCAAACACTAAACCACTTGGTCAAAGTGGCTTTGATACCATCTCAAAGAACCATTCAACCTAAAAGCTTAAGATGTTAAGTGAGGTCCTTGAATAGGTTTTATTTTCTAACACCCTCATCCTATATAGTGTTTTTATCAATCATTCGTAGCAGATCACGAGTAAATCCGAAGAACTACATGACTTTGCTTATTTGTGAAGAGATGTCTCAGTTGGAAGATTACTAAACCTACTTAAGCCCTTATTACCAACAAGTTGAATTGACCCCAGCAATTGTTCTCATGGGAATTCCACCAACAAGCAATCATCACTAGTCCATGATGGCGATTACAAGAGTTGGACCAAACCTAAGACCAAACAATGGAGCCTCATTTACTAACTTGATCTGGTCATGGCCAAATTTTTGCACCTCAATCATAATGGAAATAGGCCCATTTGTCAAATTTGCAACAAAAAAGGCCATAAAGCAATAGGTTGCTTTCAGAGGTTGAACTTGTCATATCAAGGCAAGCAAGAAACCACCTGAGAAGCTCAAAGCTATGACTGCCGCAACGCAAGATCCTACAGATGATATCACATGGTATTCAGATACAAGAGCCTCACACCACATAACGCCTGCTTGATGAGAGTAGAATTTATCATATTTTTATCTCTAAATATTCTGTTTTTCACACTTAATTAGTACTTAATTGGACTCATATTTCTTGTATTTTGGTTCAGGGCATGAAAGAAGGCATCAGGAGCAAAGAAAGACAATTCGGATGATTTTTCACAGTTTCGGCACTATTCAGTAATTTGGGCCTAACTCGCGTATCCGAACTCCGAATGGGCTGATTCAAGATCCACTAGAAAGATAAGAGAAAAAGCCACAACTTTCGTGTTTTGGGATTTCGCAGATTCGGTTTGCATCGAAGTCAAATTCAGGCCCGAAGTCGGGGAAAATTCGTTGAAAGGCCCAATCCGCAACTGAAGCCCAACTTGCAGAAAAGCCTGGTTGAAACCCAATTCACAGAGGAGGTCTAATACGAATCCAAGAACAAGAAACTGAGAAGAGTCCTACCAGATCTAAATTTATGATGTAATCCTAGAGAGATAAAAAGATTGAGTTCATTAGATAAAGAGATAAGAGTAGGATTAGACTATGACTTTCTAATCTTGAAAGATTAACTTCAAGAGAGAGTAGGAGACCACCCCCTCCCCTTTAGGCTATATAAAGAAGTAAGGGGCGGACTAGAGGGATCATCGACTACAATTGGAGGAATTCCTGAAGTCCCTCTGAAGTGAATCAAGAAGGTCTTCAAGAACTTCAAGAAGGAGATCAAGAAAGCTTCAAGAAGGAGGTGACGGCAAGAAGAAGAGGAGATCTCAACACCCTGGGCGAATTCATGAGTTCTTTCTTCCATCTTGTTTGCTTTATTTTCTTTATTATGAACTGATTTGTTTTTAGCTAGGGCTGTGGAAAGCT